CTCATAATTTAAGCTAAATTAATAGTCTTATCTCCGGTAAATAACAATAGTTTAATCTCCAATAATTATTGAAAATTTATAGAATACACAATTATTGAAAATATATTGATAATGAAAAAATACAATAATTACAATAATGAAAAAATACAATAATTACAATAATTACAAAAATACAATAAGTGCTAAAAATATATTAACTTAGTCAATAAATAGTATAATCTCAATTAATAGTTTAATCTCTAATAAATATTACTTAATCAATAAGTTATAACAAAAACACAATAAGTTAAATTTAAAAATTCAATAATAGTAGTTTAATCTCCAATAATTATTGAAAGTTTTCTATTAAATAACAAAACAAAATAAATTTATACATAATCATTGAAAATATATTTATCACAAAAAAACAATAAACAATTACTGAAATACAATAAATATTAATTTTAGTATATATAATTATATAATAAATACAATTTAAGAGTTTAAATTATTATCAATAAATATTATTATTTTTTGAAAATTATTTCTTGAATTATTACTTGATATAAGTGAAATTAGTTATTTACAATATTATGTAAAAATTATAAATTATTATTATTTTCAATATTATGTTATATTTACATTTCTAGTTTTCAGTTTTTTTTTAAATTCATTACATAATTTCTATATTTCAACTATTTAAAATCTAGATATGTTAAATATTTTGTTATTTAAAATATTTATTTATTTAAATTTTTAAATAATATGTAAAATATTTAAATTTTAAAATATTAATTATTTGTTGAATTTAATTTTCTATAAAATCATAATTTATACTATTATTACATAATTTCATTATTAATTTTTAATATATTAAATTATTATTAATTTCAATATTATGTTATAATTATTTTTCTACTTTGAAGAAATTTTTTAAATTTATTACATCATTCCGTTATTTTAACTATTTAAAATCTAGTTATGATAAATATTTAAATAATCTATAAAAGATTTAATTTTTTTATTTGAATTTTATTTATTTAAAGCTATTACATATTATTAAATATTTGAAAAACATTTAAATTTATAATTCGGAAAAACATAATTTAAATTGTTAGTACATAATTTCGTGATAAATTTTGTAAAAGTATAAATTTATTTTTTGTGTCTTTAATAAATAATTTAAAGTTATTATATAATTTAATTATGTTATTTTAACTATTTAAAATATAGTTATGATAAATATTTAAATAATCATTAAAATATTTAAAATTATTTGTTATTTGAATTTTATTTATTCAAAGCTATTTCATATTATTAAATACTTGAAAAAACATTTAAATTGATAATCCAAAAAAACAGAATTTCATGGACTTAAATGCATGGGATTTATTTAGAGAAAGCTAAATAATAGAAATGGTCATATACTAAAATACCGCTTATTCATGGATTTACTAAAATCTACTCTATAGTTACCATTTTACTAAAACACCACTTATAAATTGTACTGGATTTAATCAATCTTCCATTAGATGATAGTGGAAAATGATAGTGTTGACCCTAATGTTCATTTAAATAAATTTAATCAAAAGAAAATAAAAATAAAAATACCAATTTTTTCCTTAATAAGACACGAGCAACCACTCTATTGGCTATATTTGGTCAATTTTATTTTTTATACAAAAAGTGTTAAGGGTATTTTTCGATTAAAAAATCATGGGACTAATGGATAAACAAACACCCCTCAATGAAAGGTTGATTAAGTAAATAAGTTGTAAAATATATGGGATGTTTTAGTAAAATGAAAACTATAATGTAGGTTTAAGTAAATATGTAAAACTATGAGGTGTGTAGGAATGGCAATAGGGCGGGGATCATATTCCCTGTCCCCGACCCTGATTCTGAAATTAACCCCCACCCCTAATCCTCGACGGGGATGGGTTTCCCATGGGGAGCCGAATCCCCAAAATGTTTTCAGATAATAGTATTTTTTTAAATAAATTTATTTAAAATAAATAAAAAACTTAAATTATAAATGATGTTTTAAATATGTTTTGATATATGTATAATATAAATAATATAATAGTAAATTTAATATAAATAACATTTAATATATATATATATATATATATATATATATATATCGGGGTTGTGGCGGGGTGGGGACCTCAATCCCCATCCCTGAGCTCGACCTCGACCCCGACATCGACCGGAGATTCCTATTAATCCCTGTCCCCGCCAAAACAACCCCCATCCCCAACCCCATTGGGTCGAGGAAGTCGGGTCCCCATCGGAGATAGGGAAAATTGCCATCCCTAATAGTGTGTTCTAATAAATAACCTTAATAGAAACACATAAGAGCATACAATTGTTTTATATTTTCAACTTCTTAAATAATTAATAATTATTCATATTTTATATACTACTTTTAATAAAATTGTTATAATATAAATATAACATTAATTAATTTCAGTTAGGTTTATTTATCAAACTAATGAAACCGACCAACCGATTAATTCGACCGAGTTAGTCGGTTTTCTAGTATTTTAGGTTGGCTTTGGTTAAAAAATTTTCCAATTCGACCAAGTTGGATCAGTTTCACATTGGCCATTTGTAAACCAACCAAAATTAAACGACCTAACCATGGATATATATTAATATTTATTATTTTAAATATAACTTTCAATATGGAAAAGTGGGAATTTTCCCACATTTCTTATCTAAAATGTTTTATATCATAAATCTAATTTTTAAATTTATTTTTTAATAATTGCATTGTAATTTTTAAAATTAAATTAAAATTTTGAGTTTATATCTTTTGAACAGACTAACCAAACCAAAAAAACAACCCAAACCGATACAACTTGAGTGGGTCGGTTTTCACAAAAGGTTAGTTGGTTTCAATTGACCAACTCCCTAACCTGACCAGGTCAATTTGGTTCGCCAAATAGCCTACGACCAAACCGAATCAACTCATGAACACTCATAATTTAAGCTAAATTAATAGTCTTATCTTTGATAAATAACAATAGTTTAATCTCCAATAATTATTGAAAATTTATAGAAAAAATACAAAATTATTGAAAATATATTGATCATGAAAATAGTAGAATAATTACAAAAATACAATAAGTACTAAAAATATATTAACTTAGTCAATAAATAGTATAGTCAAATAATAGTTTAATCTCTAATAAATATTAATCAATAACTTATAACAAAAATACAATAAATACTATAAGTACAATAAGTTAAATTTAAAAACTTCAATAAATAGTAATTTAATCTCCAATAATTATTGAAAGTTTTMTGTTAAATAACAAAAAAAAATAAATTTATACATAATCATTGAAAATACATTTACCATGAAAGACTATAAATATTAATTTTAGTATATATAATTATATAATAATTACAGATTAAGATTTTAAAATTTTTATTAATACATATTAATTTTTTTGAAAATTATTTTCTCAAATTATTACTTAATATAAGTTAAATTAATTATTTATAATATTATGTAAAAATATTAAATTATTATTAATTTCAATATTATGTTATAATTATTTTGTACTTTGAAGAAATTTTTTAAATTTATTACATAATTTTGTTATTTTAACTATTTAAAATCTAGTTATGATAAATATTTACTTATTTAAATATTTAAATAATCTATAAAATATTTAAACATTTTTGTTATTTGAATTTTATTTATTTAAAGTTATTACATATTATTAAATATTTTAAAAACATTTAAATTGATAATCCGGAAAAACATAACTTAAATTGTCAGTACATAATTTCGTGATATATTTTGTAAAAATATAAAATTATTTTTTGTGTTTTTAATAAATATTTTAAAATTATTATATAATTTTGTTAGAATATTTAGATATTTATTAAAATTTTTAATCCAAACTTTCTTTAGATAGATATACATAAAAAGTAGGGGAGGGAATAAATAGGAATTAAAAATTATTTATGAGAGAAACTCTACTAAATTAGAGATAATTTTGGAGATAAATAGGAATTAGAGATAATTTAGAAGATAAATAGGAATTAGAGATAATTTTGGAGATAAATAGGAATTAAAGATAATTTAGAAGATAAATAGGAATTAGAGATAATTTTGGAGTGGGGGATAGTGGGGGAAGTAGTTTAGGAGTAATTTTAGGATAAGAGATTATTTAGGTTACTGGGAAAGTCCATCTCATTGGTTGTTTCAAAAATGACATAATGGCAAATTGCATAAAGATAATTTTGTCATGTGGTAAATAATTCCCAATAGCCCCACACGCGTCCCTTTTAGTTTCTAGTCCCACTAGGCTACCACGGGTTAACTTTGGCTGTTGGGGCCCAACAGCATAGGCTGTTGAGACAGTATACTGTTGAGACAACCTCTCAACAGTATAGACTGTTGGCCCCCAAGCTAAAGTTTTCCTGGCTACTAATCTCTTCAACCCCTATTTTACTTTTTATCTTTTTTCCTTTTCCATTTTTTTTTATTTATTTTTGGGTGAACAAATCACCAGCCCCGCTAATGGTTTGCCCCAAGGTTTTTAAAATCAAATCGGATAATGAACCAATCAGGGGTCTAGTTCCCGGGTCAAACGGTCTGTTTGTTTGAATCGAATAAGCGGCCCATTCTGACAAAAAAAATTAAAAAAAATAAAAATGGTCAAAACTGTTAGACGATTCAACCACCCAGGTCAATGGTTTACTGACCAAATCAATGGTTTTGGCGAAATAACAATTTTGGAATAAAACGGCTGATTGGTCCCCAGTTTTTCCGGTCTGATCGTCCGGTCTGGTCCGGTTTTGAAACCATGGTTTGCCCCCATAAAACCATGACTTTTTACAGTTGTTGGGATAGGAGTTGTATGGAGCAGACTGGGCCAGCGCTTCGTGCTAAATAGATCCAACTTAACTTAGATACCATCATTGTAATGTTGATTTATATATATGTCCAGCACCCACTACCCAGTGGCCAGTGCTTTTCTCCATTTTCTATGTTGGAGAGAAACCTTAGAAGCCAATTGTTTAATGCGGGAATAATATAGAAAACTGTTGGTAGACAGACAGTAGATGAAATTGGAACAAAGGAGGCCTCTGGTGAATGTTGCGCTCACTTTGAGCTGGTAATGTATGGTTGAATACTTCCTAGTTACTACTTGAGACCATACTCTTCCAATTTTTCAGGTAAGATAAAAATGTCTCTAGAGTAATTTATATATAGAATAGAATTCATCAAGTGGTGGATCCATGTATCTATGCATCGTGATGGTTAATTTGGGGAAAAGAATCATAGTTGGCTATTCTTGTGTATGCAGAAACACCATATACAGTCTTAATAAGCTTGCTGTTTCTTAAATTAACTGTTTGTTGTTTCAGGCCCAGGGTTCATTCTTTTCCTTTCTCCAGTCTTGGTTCAACAAACGATGTATTCATCTTGGTCTTTCCTTCTCAAGGCATTTCTTCTTGGGAACATCGTGCTCAACTTCATATCACCGTCCAACACAAGTGATGTAAGATTTGCAAATGAAACAGATCGACTCGCTTTGCTGGAATTCAAGGAGATGATCACTGAAGACCCACTTGGAGCTCTGAGTTCATGGAACTATTCAACCCACTTCTGTCAATGGAGAGGAGTTACCTGTAGCCGACGGCATCAGAGGGTCATAGCCTTGAATTTGGAGTCGCAGAGCTTGGTGGGGATTGTTTCCCCTCACATCGGAAACCTCAGCTTCCTTAGGACTATCACCCTCCAGAACAATAGCTTCCATGGGAAAATCCCACAAGAGATCGGTCGTTTGTTTCGCCTGCGAAGTCTCACACTCAGCAACAACTCCTTTCAGGGTGAGATTACAACCAACTTAACTTACTGTTCAAGACTCAAGCTTCTCAATTTGATCGACAATAAGCTTGTTGGTAAAATCCCAGATGAACTGAGCACTCTATCAGCACTATCCGATCTAGGCCTTTCTCTTAACAATCTTACAGGAAACATCCCACCTTCGCTTGGAAACCTTTCGTCTTTGAAACAAATTTCTATAGCTACAAACAATTTGGAGGGAAGCATCCCAGAGGACCTTGGACGACTCACGGATTTAGAAATTCTTGTAGTTTCTGATAATTACCTCACTGGTACAATTCCTCCTACCCTCTACAATCTTTCCAACATTGTTATATTTATAGTCACTGGTAACCGACTACATGGAGAGATTCCTAGCGATATAGGCCTCACTCTTCCTAATATCAAATGGTTATTTGTTGGAGAGAACATGTTTACAGGAACCATTCCAGGCTCACTAACCAATGCTTCAAGACTTGAATATGTTGAATTTGCTCTTAATGGGTTGACAGGACCAATTCCTAACAATCTAGGCATGTTGCCAAGTCTTTCCCACATCAATTTTGGTGCTAATAAGCTAGGAACAACAGATGAAAATGATCTGAATTTCATCTCTTCTTTAACCAACTGCACAAGGTTAGAGATGATCAATTTAGGTCAAAATCTTCTCAGAGGTTCACTGCCCAACTCCCTGGCAAATCTATCCACCCAGATCAAGCATTTGATTTTCCAAGAGAATCATATTTATGGAAGCATCCCTTCTGGTATTGGAAACCTTATCAATACGGTGTACTTGGATATGGAGTGGAATGATATCACAGGCAATATTCCAGTGGAAATTGGGAAGCTTCATAGGTTGCAGGATTTGTACTTGAACCATAATAGGATCTCAGGACAAATTCCATCTTCAATTGGTAATTTGACCCTGTTGAATGGTCTCGATTTAATGGGCAATAACTTAGATGGGCCCATTCCTCTCCCTCTTGGAAATTGTCAACAGTTGTTAGGCTTGAGTCTTTCTCATAACAATCTTAATGGTTCAATACCAAACGAAATTCTCTACCTTTCCTCCATTTCACTTTATCTCTACCTCAGTCACAATGCTTTAACAGGCTCCCTACCTTCAGAAGTAGGCAACTTGAAAAACCTTGTCAACTTAGACATTTCTAAGAACAGATTATCAGGAAGTATCCCTGACACTCTTGGGAATTGTCTGCTGTTAGAGAACCTTTACATGCAAGACAACCTCTTTGAAGGAATGATTCCACAATCTTTGAGTGCACTGAGAGGTCTACAAGACTTGGACATTTCGCATAATAAGTTGTCCGGAAAAATTCCAGGGTTTCTTGGAACACTTCCTTTTCTCACCTATTTGAACCTATCATTCAATCAACTCCAGGGTGAAGTTCCAGAAAATGGGATCTTCAGGAATGAAAGTGCGATTTCAGTTGATGGAAATCAAAAACTTTGTGGAGGTATAGCTGAATTGAAGCTACCCACATGCATCATCACAGCCTCTAGGAGAAAAAGCCACTCTCTGCTACTCAAAGTAATGACCCCAGTGGTCGTTCTGGTAATTGTCCTAACCCTGTTATCATCTATCATTGTTAGATGTTACTTGAGAAGGCCTCGCAGAAATGAACAGTCTTCTGCACCACCATTTCCTCAGCATTTAACAGTTTCTTATGCAGAGCTCCTTAAAGCAACAAATGGTTTTTCTGAGGACAATTTGATTGGTGTTGGAAGCTATGGTTCTGTATATAAGGGAATACTAGATCAAAATGATGAAACCTTGATTGCAGTGAAGGTTCTCAATCTTGACCAAAGAGGAGCTGCAAAGAGTTTCGTCTCTGAATGTGAGGCCTTGAAAAATATTCGGCACCGGAACCTTGTCAAGATCTTGAGTACTTGCTCCAGTATTGACTTCCAAGGTAATGAGTTCAAAGCTCTAATTTTTGAGTTCATGCCTAATGGAAGTCTTGAGAAATGGCTGCATCCAGAAGCAAATGGAGAGCAAGAGTTGAGAAAACTTAGCTTTATGCAGAGACTAAACATAGCCATAGATGTTGCTTCTGCACTGGAATATCTGCACCACCATTCTCATGCAACAATAGTTCATAGTGACCTCAAGCCAGGCAATGTTCTGTTGGATGAAAAACTGACAGCCCATCTGAGTGATTTTGGACTAGCAAATGTTCTTTCTGAGCTCTCTAGTGATTCTGCACCAAATGGAACAAACTCTGCTGCAATAAAGGGATCTATTGGGTATATTGCTCCAGGTAAATTTGTAATATAATAGCCATTGTATTCCAAAACCCATCTCAATTTTCATTTCTTGCATATATTGTCTTCTACCCAATTCATAGAAAAATGATATTTCAACGGATGTACGTGCAGAATATGGTATGGGTGGCAAGGTGTCTACATATGGAGACATTTATAGCTACGGTATACTAGTGCTGGAGATGTTTACAGGGAGGAGACCAACTGGTGAAATGTTCAAGGATGGTTTAAGCCTTCACGACTTTGCTAGAATGGCTTGCCCACAGCGAGTAATGGAGATCATGGATCCACTCCTGCAGGTGGAAGAAGATAGAAGAAGTAGTAGGATACATGAATGCTTGCTCTCAGTTCTGAGAATTGGAATTGCTTGTTCCATGGAATCACCAAGCGATCGAATGAGGATCAGAGATGTTGTCACCAAATTACACTCTATCAAGAAAGCTAACGATGGGAAACTTGATGCAGATGACAGAGATAGGGTCCAAGCTGAAGGCTAGGACACTTCTTACTTTGGCAACTACAATGGACCTTCATACGAGTACATACTGAACTAATTTAAAAGCCCATTCCTAGGTAGAGTTCGGGTGGGTTGGGTCGGGTTTAAAAGAATTTATGAATAACTTTTTACATAGCCATATTTTATTGGATTTTGTGGTCTATTTAAAAATAGAATTTATTAAAAAGATATTTTTGTAAAAATATAATGTATGCATATATGTATGTATATAATTATTTGTTCAGCAATCCAACCCAAGTTTAAGTCAGGCCCAGAGTTTTTTAGCCAGGCTTTTAATTAGTTGGATAGGAGTACTTGGGTTGAGTTTTTGTCAAATTTTCAATGAGCCCACCCCAAAGGCCCAACCCCAAAGAAGTGTAAAATGCTAACTCGGGCCAATACGAGTTGCATCCCTATTGTTGGTTTAGGCCCAGGTCAGGTAGTTCCAATCTGATTTCATTGGCAAAAGTATAGAAGCAGCCCCAAACCAGAGCCTATATTGTCTATAATAACAGAACCAGAATCAACCCAATTATTAATTGGGGTTATTGGATCTGACTTGATAGACATGGTTATAATTGACAACAATACTTTTAACCCACAAAATGAAAAACTACTTGTTAAATTGATACATTTGGACATGATAATGTGACAACATTACAAGAACAATACTATGAGAAAGATGGGTATTGTGGAGGAAACCTAACTGCCGATTGAGCCAAGAGAACATTCTCTGAATGGCCAACAGGGTTTTCTATTAAACCAACATAAAGTGGGGAAAATTACTCTAATAACCCTATTTAATGAAAAATACATGATGTGATTAAGGCTGCATTTGGCATTCCATATTTTAAGGACTTGCATCCTTTCTGGGGTTAAAAACTCAGTCTTCGTAGAGACATTTTAACTACGAAAGGAGAAAATCCCTTAAAATAAGGAATACCAAATGCAGCCTAAATCACTTTCATTTAAGTTAGGGGTATTATATAAAGCTCACAATGACTTTTTCACATTTCTCTTGAACTCACCATGACTTTTCAAAACCTCTAAAGAGCTCTTTGTTAGTGAGTTTTATTGTCCAAAACTCACCTTCCATTAAGATTCCCATAAGATCATTTGTAGTGATTTTTAATGAAAGTTTTCCACCTAAGCATTTAAGTATTTTACATAACCAAATTATCCCTGAATGACCAGTCAATCTTATTAGATATTTTATGACAAAATTACCCCTGATTGCCAATATATAATAATTGTACATATATTACTTTGTTTAATTGGAATTGGAGGGGGTTAAATTTAGGCCTGATCATGGGTCAGGCTTTTAACCTATGATAATTTCTATAGCTTAGGAATGGCCCAACCCAGGTTCCAAATGTGAAACATAAGCCCAGGCTTATATCTTTTACAAATAAAATATTACATATATATATATATATATAATATTTTATATTAAATGATATATAATATGCATATAAATTTATTTTATACATTATTAATATAATATATATTATAAGTTTCATATAATAATATTTATATGTAAAATATACAATATAACATAAAATAACATATTAAGATTTGCAGGCCTAGTGTGGACCAGGCTCAGGTTGGGTAATTTTGTCATGAAAAATATTTAATAAGCTTCACTTGCTATACATGGGTAATTTAGTCATTTAAAATACTTAAATGCTTTTGTGGACAACTTCTCTTAATAACCACTAATGGTGAACTAATGGAAATCTAAGGAAGGTGAGATTTAGATGATAAAACTCACTATAAGGAGGCTCTTCGACGAAGGTTTTGAAAAGTCATGATGAATTTAAAAGAAATACAAAAATAAAAGTCATAGTAAATTTTAATTAATATAATAAAAGACTTAAATAATCCTATCCCACTTAATTAAAAGATAGAAATGAGACTTAAAGAAAAGGATAAATATCCAAACAGCAATTGGTCACTCCATTAACAGGTATCAAATTGGGGGTGTATATACTGACCCCAATTATAACTAGAACATGTAATAATGACCTAGGCCTTATGTAATTGGATCGGTTGGCTTGGTTTGGTCTTATCCCATCATGAAACTAAATTTCTGGTTGGTAGTCTATATGCAAAAAGTTTGTTATCATGCTATTAGCCCGTGTGCTGCATAGGCTTTATTAAGAAAAAGCAAAACAGTAGAAACACACAAGTGCATACAAATGTTTTATATTTTTTCTTTTTAAATAATTGATAATTATTTATATTTTATATCCTACTTCTAATAAGTTTTTACAATACAAAAAAAAAAACAATAATTAATTTCAGGTAGGGTTGTTCATCAAACATATCAAACCAACCAAATCAACCAACACAATCCAGCTCGACTCGAGTTGGTTAGTTTTCTAGTATTTTTGGTTGGCTTTAGTTCAAAAATTTCCTATTCCAACTATGTCAAGTTAGTTTCAGTTTGGCCATTTGTAAATTGACCAAAACTGAATCGACCTGACCATAGATATATATTAATATTTTATATTTTAAATAAAATTATTTTAATATGGGAAAGTTGGAAAATTTCCATATTTCTTAGTCTAAAATATTTTATATTGTAAATTTAAAATTTTTAATTTATTTTTAATAATACCACCATAATTTTTTAAATTTAAGTTTATTTTTTTTTAAGTTAATCCTTTGAATCCATTGACCAAACCGAAAACCAACCCAAACTAATATAACCCGTGTTAGCCAGTTTCATAAATAGTCGATCAGTTTTGAGTAACCATCTCCCTAACCCGACCATGTCAATTTGGTTGGGCAAATAGTCTTCAACTAACCGAACCAACTTGTGAACATTCCCGTTTCCAAACAAACTAAAAGTTTATTCTATAATAAATAACAATAGTTTAATCTCCAATAATTATTGAAAATTTTCTATTAATTAACAATACAAAAATAAATTTATGCATAATTATTGAAAATATATTTATCACAAAAATAAAATAAATAATTACTGAAAATTCAATAAATAATTAATTTTAGTATATATAAATCTATACTAGTTATAAAAGTGTGAATAGGTCTTATTTTCTAGAATTTTCATTGGAAAGAATTTACCCCTTAATCTTGAGCTATCATGAGGCACAAATTTGTATTTTAATAAGAAAACTTTAATTAAAACAATAAACCAATTGAACAACATTTATCATCTTAGAAAATCATTCTCATTAAGTCTTATACTTAAGGTAAATAATAATTACCAATAGCATTCATTGAATCCTATTTTTGAGTAGAATACCCTATTTTTGAATTTGGTCTCTCCAATAATGAAGTCAAAAATGTAATTTGAAACATTGCATTTCTCCTCATTCAATTCCCTCTCATTAAGTCTTGTATTTAGGGTATTCACTCTTATTTTTCATTAATTCTTATATTAATTGACCAAATTAAAAAAAATGAGTATGTCAAATAATAATTGTTTTATTGATGATAAAAAATAAAACACAAATTAAAATCAACCCAAAATGGAGTTGTTTTCCTATTTGGTAGCAAATCAACAATTCAAACTTTTAGGTTAAATGTGTAAACCCTTGATGATAATAATAAAAAATGAAAAGGATGCAAACAAACACAAGTGTATATCTATCTATCTATCTATCTATCGATATATACATATATATATATATATATATATATAATAAGAAAATCTAGAAATTTTCTCCTTTTTTTTGATTTTTTGATTTTTTTAATTACATGTCATTTTCGAAACAACCAATGAGATGCACTTTCCCAATAACCTGAATAATATCTTCTCCTAAAATTTCTCCTAAACTACCTCCCCCATTATACCCCACTTTCTCCTAAATTATCTCTAATTCCTATTTACCTCCAAAATTATTTCTAATTTAGTAGAGAGTTTCTCTCCCAAATTATCTCTAATTACTATTTATACTCTCCCCCACTTTTTATCTATATCTATCTAAAGAAAGTTGGATTAAAAATTTAAGAATTATTTTAGCATTCTAAAAAAATTATATAATAACTTTAAAATATTTATTAAAAACACAAAAATTATTTTTATATTTTTACAAAATATATAACGAAATTATGTACTAACAATTTAAATTCTGTTTTTCCATATTATCAATTTAAATGTTATTCAAATAATAAAAATTTAACATTAAAAAATAAAATCTTATTTAAATATTTCAATAAATAAAAATCTTAAAAAACAAAATATTATAAATATCTAAATAATTATAAAAATATTTAATAATATGTAATAGATTTAAATAACTAAAATTCAAATAACAAAAATTTTAATATTATTTAAATATTTAAATAACTAGATTTTATATAGTTAAAATAAGAAAAATATGTAATAAATTTAAAAAATTCTTAAAAGTAGAAAAATAATTATAACATAATATTGAAAATAATAATAATTTAATTTCTTACAAAATTAATAATGAAATTATGTAATAATAGTAAAAATTATAATTTTATGCACTATTAAATTGAATAAATAACAAAAAATTTAAATATTTTAAATATTAATTAAATATTTAAAAAACAAATTATTTAATATAACTATATTTTAAATAGTCAAAATAACAAAATATGTAAAAAATTTAAAAATTTTCTTAGAAGTAGAAAAATAATAATAAAATGATATTAAAATTAATAATAATTTAATATCTTACAAAATTAATAATGAACATATGTAATAATAGTATAAATTATAATTTTATGGATTATTAAATTCAATAATTAATTAATATTTTAAAATTTTAATACTTTACATATTATTTAATTATTTAAATAGCTAAATATTTTTAATAACAAAATATTTAACATAACTAGATTTAAAATTAGTTAAAATAAAGAAATTATGTTATAAATTTAAAAAAGCTCTGAAAAGTAGAAAAATAATTATAACATAGCATTAAAATTATTAATAATTTAATATTTTAAAAAATTAAAAATGAAATAACTTTAATAATAATTTAATATTTTTACATAATATTGTAAATAAATAATTTCACCAATATCAATTAATAATTTGACAAAATASCTTTCATAAAAATGAATATTTATAAATAATAATTTTAGACTCTTAATAT